ATCTCAAACTTTTGGTTGACACTTTAAGTTTTTGATTGACTTTCTGAGTTTTTGGTTGAACTCAAAAAAGATTTGAACTCAGGAATCGGGGGTTGCTAGGTAAGGGGCTTGAACACAGGTTCTGGTGGGTTGTCGTACGACTTGTGACATCACAAAATGTATAAAACTCATCATTAATATACATTAAAATACATTTACTTACAGTAAATATGCCCTTGGGTGCAGTTTTTTGGTCCTAGGACTGTTTTCTTAAGAAGTACACACCCAAAGTTGAGTAAAAAAAAAAAACCTGTAAAAAGTAAATATAGCATAATAAGTCTCCTTCAGTCTCTACATTCAACCTATCACACATGTGAACACACGTGCAACATGGAGACCAACCTGGAGTTGAACCAGCTATCTTCCAATTACAAGCTTGGCTTCTCTACTCCCTGCGCCACTACCCCAGTTTGTGATTTCTGAGTTCAAATCTTTTTTGAGTAACCAAAAACTTAGAAAGTCAACCAAAAGTTTGAGATTCAACCAAAAGTTTGTTTTGCAAAAAATGTTTTGATATTTTTTTTTATTTTTTGATTGAAATAGTTTTTTTTTGTTTGGTTGAAAAAAATATCTTTGATTAATTACTATTTTTGATTGAAGATGCTTTTTGTTTGATTGAATAATAAAAACACAAATTTACCTCCATAATTGGTAACATTAAAGTTAGCGGGTCAGAACCAGAAACAGTTGTAACAGTTGAAACGCTGATCCTCCCCCACAGGTGCTGACCTCTGACCCCTCCACCATGAGCTCCCGGGCGTGCCGGACCTGTGGAGGGTCCGACATCGATGTGGACCAGGCCCGGGGCAGCGCTGTGTGTACAGGCTGCGGTTCTGTTCTGGAGGACAACATCATTGTGTCAGAGGTCCAGTTTGTTGAGGGAAGTGGAGGCGTGTCGTCCACCGTGGGACAGTTTGTCTCTGCTGACGGTGAGTTCTGACCGGCAGGACCAGAAAAACAGACCCGAGTCTGAACCACTGGGTCCAAACAGAAACAGCTGATCCAAGACTAGTTAACCACAGTTTGGTCCTTCTCGAAACTAACATTCAGTTTCCATTCTTTATTCATTTCATTAAACCAAACCAAATAATTTTATATACAATAAAAAAGAAATAAATTTAAAAAATGAAAAATGTATATCAAAATCACAAATAAAGTTAAATGAAAGGCAGCAGAGAGAAGAAAAAAATCTTATATTTGCCCCTTTTGTCTCAAGAATAAGTTCATATAACAAAAAAAAATCTATGTTAACAAAAAAGACAAGAACATCTAATCCCTCTAGAACAATTTATATAGATACATACTGTTTCGTATTTCTTTAGCAATCCAGCTTTTATCATTTTCTTAATTGTACATAATGATCCTGCAGTTTTTACAGCACTCTCCAAATTGTTTCATAGTTTTATTCCTTGAATTTAAGAACACCGTTCCTTCAAACTAGTTCTGAATTTGGGTTTTACAAACATCTCTGTCCCTTTAAGGCAGGGGTCTCCAACCAGTAGCTCGTGAGCTCATTTAAAGTAGCTTTTCAGAGCTTATGAAAAAATATGAAGCAGCAAAATTTTTTTTGTCACTGGCCAAACTTACATTTAATTCCAATCAGTCTATAAATGGCCCTTCCCCTTGGTTGTCAAACAGTTTAGGGTTCAGTGTGGTCGATTGGCAGACGACACGCAATGCGTGGTTTTTTGGCGTTCGTTCTCGCACACCTTTCATAGCCCCTTGAGACACACTGTGCTAAACTCCTGGGAAACCTCTCCCACTTCATTATGTCACTACAGGGGGTTTCTTCCCGCTGGAGT